CAGGACTCTTATGCAGTCAAACTCTGCAGCAGAYGGTTTAGTTAGGAGTTCTTTCCAATACAGGGTTTAGATGAGCCTGATGGGGTATGTTTGTATCTATTTTATCATTGTATTTATATATGTAATTGGTACTTACATGTTTCTTCTCCTGGATTTTGTGGAGCTCTATGTATTTTAATGTTTTCTCCTTTCTGAAAGTTTCTTCTTAAGAAAATGTCTCTTTGTTCTTTTCTTTTCTTTTTTCTTTTTTTTTCTTCCATCTGTTGACATGAGATATGAAACAGTATGCTATAAAAGAAGTCAAAAGAAAAGAAGATTTATAGAAACAAATATAGTGACTTGCAGTTTTACTAAGGGATAAATAAAGCCAAGAATAAAAAAAAGAGACAGGATGATCAAAATCTGAAAGATAGAGATATGANGTTGGATCAACCGGCTGATTATCATTGACTTCACTGCCACCAACAACGACATGATTGGCCCATGTGGAGGGTGGCTCATGTAGATCATAACAGAAATTAATTGTGTCCATCCATKCCATAGTGTGTACATTTCCTAGTAGTGCTTTCTCTTCCTCAATCACGGCCTCCCCTTGAATCACGACCTCCACCAATACCATGACTATGACCGAACATGAGGTTATCACGACTCCCTTGAACTGTATGACGTCTTGCTCTGTTTCCATAAGCTCCTCCTTGTGCTCCAACAATTGTTGATCTAKTAGAAGTTATGGTACCCTTTGTGTGTCCAAGAGAGATCCTATGYAGACGGGCAAACACTTCCTCTAGAGTGGGAAGGGCAGATCCACCCAATATCTGTGCTCTGATAGGTTCATATTTTGATTTCAACACTACTAAGAACCGTGTAACATCAAGTTGCTCCCTTTGTTGTTGCTGAATTTTGACATCTGGAGTTAAGGGATGATAGACATTAAGTTCATTCTGAAGATTTCTCATACTGGCATAATACTCTTAAAGGGTCTAATTTCCCTGCTGCAAACTGAAATACTCCTTATAAAGCTGATAGACTCTCGTARTATTGTCTTGGCCAGAATAGAGTTTCTTAGCATGCTCCCATATCTCCTTTGCTATATCTAAGAACATAAAATTGACACTGATTTTGGGTTCCATACTGTTGCACAACGGCACAACCACGTCATGATTTGAGCATCTTCCTGCTCCTAGTCACTAAAACCCGGAGATTCAGCTATAGGTTTCTCCTCCCTCAAATGTTTTACCTTCTTCTTGGCCTTAAGAAACACTTTCACTGACTTAGCCCATGGCACATAGTTTTCACCGTTGAGTTTAATGGATGTCATCTGCACATTTAAAAATCTAAGGAAATCATCACACTCGATTTCTGGTCACCACTGACATCTCCTATTGTCATCATCAAGATTTCAATTCAAGAAACTGGTTCTGCCCTTCTAGAAAAAAAATTATCAGTCCAGACACACCTGCTGTTGTTATTTGAATACTACACCAGTTCACTCACCACCTTACAGTACCTCCTCATCCAACCACCACKATACTACCTAAACACACATTCGGCCACTGCTGTCGGCATAAAAAAACACTTCTAATAACACAAGCCACAATTTGATAAGAAATCCCTCTTGAAACTGCTCGGTAGAGGGTTCAAACCACTACAAACATAATCACGACCACTAGGGCTGTCACACATGGTGACAGCAGTCCAAAAACCACCAACTAGGGCTGTTGCACTCCTCTCTCACCTGTAATCCAGACCACAGTAACACTAGGAGAACCAGAATAAGTTACCGCAGACCTCTATAGATCACCACAGCCTTCTCTTGCCCTTAATCCAGGTTG